AAAATATATATGTTAGAAAAGGTAGACACCATGAAGAAGTTGGGCAAACACCCAAAGAGACACACGTGAGTGAAGTGAACCGTATCGGTTGAACTGAACACCTGTGACCCTGGGTGTGGCCGAAAAAAGGAAGGTCCCATGGAGGAGGATGCGACCATCCTCCATGGTTGATGAAGAAAGACTGACCTAGGTGGCGACCATGGGGTCTGATGAAGCTCGACCGTATTCATGGAAAGAGAATTAACGGAACGTATACTAACCAGTCTCATTCATTTTTTTTGGTGCAAATTATAACTGGTAACAAAAGTGTGACAAAAGATGAGGGAACAATTTTTGTTTGCGCCTTACAGTCATAACGCAAAATGGCTTTCAATTTTTTTGCGTTTGAAATACAGGAGTTTAATTTACCATTTAATTTTCAATTTTCGAATACAGATTTCTTTGTGCGGGGCCCGGAAAACTCGGATGTCCGGGTTCTTGGCAGCAAATACCCGACGAAGACGATCAATGCTACTACAAATCAAACTACGAAGCCGACTTTGACACGGCCCGGAAACTGTGTCGCTACATGCACCCAGGTGCTGACCTGGCCCGGAACCCGGCAGCCGAACTTCCGGCCGAGTTTTGGGCCAATGACCACGACACTTCCGGTTTCGCCCACTACTGGACCGGGTTCCGACGTCGTGCCAATGCAGACAGGTGGACCCGTGTCGGCGACGACACAGCTGCTGTCGACCTCACGTCACCATTTTGGCACGTGGCAATTGATGGGATAGTCGACGGACTCATCGACTCGTCTGACGAGAGTGACGAATGCGCTTTCGCCTTTCCGAGTGTTTGGGCAGCGTTTAAGGATGATGGACCCGTCAATGGACGAAGGCCTGGGTTCATTTGCCAAAAACCCGCAAATAATCACTAAACATTTTCTGCGAAATTCATTACCGTAAAATTATTATTTCAATCATGTTTTTTAGCTCAGTTGGTAGTAAAGTTATACTTTTGTTTACTGACTTTAGGCTGGCCTGCGGTTTTTTTTAAGGCTTTAAGTCACTTATAAAAGCAGTTTTTACAGAAGTTCAAAAAGAGTGCTGCTTTAAAAGAAAATTCCTCGACAGAAAATTTGAAATCGACTTTTTCCACAGCCCTGTTTTACTAACAGCAATTTGACCCTAAACTTGCTGAAAAATAAAAATTGAACTGCATCTTAGATTATTCCCAAACGCTAGGAATGTTCCAATTCTCTCTCCACAAGCATGACGATCAAGGTCAGCCAAAAAAATTGAAAAAGGTTCCCATCGTCTTTCAGCTTTGCTTTATTCTGACTTGAAAAAAAATCAGGCTCAAAAACTTTTAAATCCATTTCACATCTGTTGATAATTGCATAGACTGAAGAATTCACGCCTTGAAAATACTTCTTAGAAATTTTTGTAATCCTATCTCGTCTCAGTTTTAAAGTAAATCCAATCTTTTATTTTATTAATTCAGATGCCTTAAAAATTAATCCTCGTGAAAGAATAGTTTGAAACAGGATTTCGACGTCTCACATCTTGGAACTGGCTCAACAGAAACAGTGTTTGAAAAAGTTTCAGAGAACTTTTTTCCCCTGGAATTTTTTTTTCTTTGTCCATCATGCGGCTAATAGATCATCTGGCATGGAACATCATCTCGGTAGTTGAAAAAAACGTCGATTCGAATGGCTTTTATAGAATTAAAGTTACGATGAATCATTGCGGTTTCTCGAAAATCGTAAAACTTTTTAGGGTCCGTTCTGTAGGGAGAAAGAGAAAAAAAAGCCTCGAGAAGACTGGAAAAATTATATTCTTTATGACCATGGTGCTTGAATTGACTTTGTAGACCACAAGGCAACTCTTTTTTTTTAACTTTTTAGGGTCCGTTCTGTAGGGAGAAAGAGAAAAAAAAAAGCCTCGAGAAGACTGGAAAAATTATATTCTTTATGACCATGGTGCTTGAATTGACTTTGTAGACCACAAGGCAACTCTTTTTTTTAAAGTATCAGGAAATGCAATAAATATGGTTTGCAAATGAAAAAGCGTGGATACTTATGTCACTATTTCCCCGCTAAAAAATTATTTATATTTATTCAAACATTTATTCAAAAAAATTTTTGCGTGCAGAAAAAGAAATCGCCCACACACATGAAAAACAGAAGTTTTCTTTCAACTTCCAAGGAACTCTGTGCACAGCTGATGAAGTTTTTCTTAAAATTACATACTGTATACTGCATTTGTATCCACGGTATATAAGCTTCCTCAAATTCCATGTGATAAGTTACCGTAACAGAAGAAAAAATATAAACACCCAGTTTCACAATGTCAATACAGCAAAATCTCAGTAAAACAAACTTTTGCGACTTCAGAAAACGTTTTCTTATGATGAGATTTTGAAGATTTATGACTGGATATACATTTTAAAATCAGATCTAACTATGTATAATCAATTGGACCTCGCTTTTCTGGCCTTCTCCGATTTTTTCATTATTGTTCGAAAAACTAAGTAACATGAGGAAAAATAACTTCAATCATACATTTCCAGCAGTTGCACCAATCTATTAATTCTGAGAAAAATGATGCTTAGAAACATTTGGAAGCGAGTTTTTGATTGATTACAGCTTCCATTGGTGCTACAAGAACCTGTAAATCACATTTGGGATCAGATATTTCAGAGTGAGCTTGCCTTTTAGAAATGTTCCACCTGGAGAATCTTATTTAAAAATATTTTTCAAAATTTTCGCCATAGTGGAAATTTGAAGTTTTTCGAGAGATTTATTCGTTATGCACTTTTCTTCGGGCTTTTTGTTGGTATTTGCAGGAAAGAGTGTTTTGATGAAAAATGTGTTGTAATGGTGAAGAGATTTCACTGTAATCATCACAAGGTTTTGAATGCTTCATTTTGCACATCTGAATATAATAGTATCAACCCATCTTGAGTCCATCAAGAGCACATCTCAGCTCATTCAGCGTCGGCGCTCAGTTGAACGACGCTCGCTTGTACCAACATCCAAACAAGTTTGTTGAGCGAGTTCCGGAAAAAGAAAAGTTTTTACCTCGGATGTGTTCAGAAAATGCAACTTATTTCTCTTCCGGTCTGAACAAGACACAAGTTTGCACTAGTGCAAAAAATTCCGAATGTATCGATTCTCTTTCATCTCGTCGACACGAATAAGACAAAAATAACTTTTTAGGGTCCGTTCTGTAGAGAGAAAGAGAAAAAAAAGCCTCGAGAAGACTGGAAAAATTATATTCTTTATGACCATGGTGCTTGAATTGACTTTGTAGACCACAAGGCAACTCTTTTTTTTTTAAGTATCAGGAAATGCAATAAATATGGTTTGCAAATGAAAAAGCGTGGATACTTATGTCACTATTTCCCCGCTAAAAAATTATTTAAATTTATTCAAACATTTATTCAAAAAAAATTTTGCGTGCAGAAAAAGAAATCGCCCACACACATGAAAAACAGAAGTTTTCTTTCAACTTCCAAGGAACTCTGTGCACAGCTGATGAAGTTTTTCTTAAAATTACATACTGTATACTGCATTGTATCCACGGTCTATAAGCTTCCTCAAATTCCATGTGATAAGTTACCGTAACAGCAGAAGAAAAAATATAAACACCCAGTTTCACAATGTCAATACAGCAAAATCTCAGTAAAACAAAGTTTTGCGACTTCAGAAAACGTTTTCTTATAATGAGATTTTGAAGATTTATGACTGGATATACATTTTAAAATCAGATCTAACTATGTATAATCAATTGGACCTCGCTTTTCTGGCCTTCTCCGATTTTTTCATTATTGTTTGAAAAACTAAGTAACGTTAGGAAAAATAACTTCAATCATACATTTCCACCAGTTGCACCAATCTATTAATTCTGGGGAAAATGATGCTTAGAAACATTTGGAAGCGAGTTTTTGATTGATTACAGCTTCCATTGGTGCTACAAGAACCTGTAAATCACATTTGGGATCAGATATTTCAGAGTGAGCTTGCCTTTTAGAAATGTTCCACCTGGAGAATCTTATTTAAAAATATTTTTCAAATTTTCGCCATAGTGGAAATTTGAAGTTTGTTGAGAGATTTATTCGTTATGCACTTTTCTTCGGGCTTTTTATTGGTATTTGCAGGAAAGAGTGTTTTGATGAAAAATGTGTTGTAATGGTAAAGAGATTTTACTGTAATCATCACAAGGTTTTGAATGCTTCATTTTGCATATCTGAATATAATTTTTTCAACCCATCTTGAGTCAATCAAGTGCAAATCTCAGCTCATTCAGCGTCGGCGCTCAGTTGAACGACGCTCACTTGTACGAACACCCAAAAAAGTTTGTTGAGCAAGTTCCGGAAAAAGAAAAGTTTTTAGCTCGGATGTGTTCAGAAAATGCAACTTATTTCTCTTCCGGTCTGAACAAGACACAAGTTTGCACTAGTGCAAAAAATTCCGAATGTATCGATTCTCTTTCATCTCGTCGACACGAATAAGACAAAAAAATTGAAGAAACGGAAATATTTTAAATTTTTACCGCAGTCTCGATGCTCATTTACATGCAAATATTTGAAAGGCTTTGATTGAAATTCGCAGGAATGAAAGGACGAAAAGATGAAAAAATGAAGAGTGCGGGGAACTGAGAAGATTACGTAACAATAACAGCAAGTAATTGGCAGGATTTTAGCGCGGTTGTTGCTGGTAACGTAGTTTCTGCAGAATATTTATTCGCGAATTTTCTATTCTTCACGTCAATTCGTCGTCGTGGACGTAAAAGTCGTATTGCCTCCAATAAAATCTAGTCTTACGAGAAACCGTTCAACCAGCGACAGACGCATAAAATGACCAATTCTTCTCTCAAAAAACACTTCTTGAATTTTGTTTTTCTTTGCCAAAAATTAAAAAGAATTGGTTCAAAAATAATGTCAGCGAAATATCGACGTTGGTTAATTAAGTAATCTGCCGAGGCATTCAGTAAATTAGCACGCGATCAACAAGAAGTATGGAATATGAAGAAATTTTGTTGAATTGAACAAGGAACCCGAAAATGGCAGAATATTCAATTGTCATTTAGTCAATATACCGAAAACCCTGATAAAAAAAATAACTTATTAGAGTTGCGGAAACTTTTAAATTTTCACTCAACACAAACATTTTCAACTTCTCGGTTGTTTTTATTGCATCGGACGATAATTCGTTAGAATTTTGCCTCTCACATTCCTATAGTCTGTTTATTTGATTAATTCGATGAATTTTTCCTTTAAAATTCGCGTATAAAAATACTGCACTCACCCTACTGAGGTTATTGTACGTTTTACTTGCGATCTTCAATTCCAATTTAAAATTTCAAGGAATAATTTCGGCAAAGATTACCCACATAAATTTCCATGCATCGTATTACAATTATTTCCGACGACGAATTTTTTTGTAGGCACCATCATACACATTTTTTATTTAAGCAGAAGAATTGAGACTCAACAGAATGACGATTTCACTTATTTCATAAAGGAAATTTTAAAAATTTTAGTTTAAGATCATAGCTTTTAAGGAGAACAACTGTGCTTGTAAAAATAAGTCAGTGCAGATATTATTTATTGAATTTATTCCATTAATAATTTGATAATAGTCCTGTCGACCCTAATTTTTATGGATACTCTCAATTTCAATTAAAGTTGATTTTAGGAAAAAAGCCTATTTCGATTCAAGTTGTCATTTATTCCTGATTAACCCAAATAATGAATTTTCCTGAATATAAAAGCGATGTGTCAAAGGTGAATGAATCTTTTTCCGTCCAAGGAAGACGATTGAATCGTTTTATTTTTTTCAATTTATCATAGTAAGAATCACAGACAAATGTTTGTTTCTATCCAATATCCCGACTTTCCATGCAATAATATTCTTTCCAGTCCCCCAAAAGA